TGCAGACCTATGAGCAGGTACAGGATAGGAGTAGACATTTACTTCTGAAACCAGTGAGTTCAGATGGAGTGATGGTTTTCTATGGGGAGTGATGTGGAACCAGGCACACTCTCCTCTTAGTAAACTCTGCATTCTTCAAGACTTAAGGTAGCTACCACCCCTGTGGAGCTTTCCCTCAGTTAGTGTGCACTCTGGGCTCTGAGGCTGTGATCTGTGTGCCTCTACTATAGGATGCTAACCATCACATTCTGTTTTTCTCTTATAGGCTCTGCTTTCCCCTCTCAGGCAAGCTCCAGTTCTTTAAAGTCAGGGACCAAGCTAGTTTAGAATAGTTGGGGTAGGACATCATATATGGGAAAATTCATCTGGTAGTGAAGTACAGATTGGATTGGAATTGGAAAAGCTGGTATCAGTGTGACCAGGTAAAAGAAGGTACAGTAATCTAGGCAGGAGATAAGTAGGGACGAGAGAGAAGATACAGATTTAAGAAACAGTGTGAAGAGTCATCAGGCCTGATGACATTTGTTGTGGGCATAGAGAATATGGAGAAGAATCCAAGAATATTCCAAATTATGTGACTTTTTCCCTTGTCTCAAGTTTTCTTTTATGAGTTGATTTTGAGTCTTGGTTGACTTAGTAGTCTCTTAATAAATGAGCCAGTCACACAGGTCTCTGAACTGCTGACCCATGAACAGCAATAAAAGGAGCAGATAAAAATCAAGGCAGGCTGTTGAAAGCTTATTAGCTTTGCAGGTTTTAACTGTTTCTGGAACAGAAAACTTTGAGTTTGTCTTGGCTGTCCAAGAGTATATTTTGAGCCAAACTTACCTCATCATCAGGGCCAGGGATGTAAGTATGTATGCCATTTGCTATTGAAGTGAGTGAGCCATGTAGTCCTCTGGGATGCATAGGCAGAGGGGGTGCTAATATCTTCTATTGCTTCTCTGGTGGCGCAGAACGTAAACAGGTGATGGTACCAGAAGTCTTATCTGCATGTAGTCCCCAAATTGCTTTGAATACTTGTGCTAGTGGAAGGAAGACAGTTTTAAACTCAGTCTAAAAATGCCAATCTAAATTTTAAAAATGCGTATAACATTGTTTTAAATATTGAAGTATAGTACATACAGAGAAGTGCAGAAATTATAAGGCAAAACGATGAGCCTTGTATAATTAATATAATTAACACTTAGATCAAGAAATAGAATATTACTAGAATTCTGAAGTCCTTCTCCAAAAGTCACCACTGTTCTGATAATAACATAGTTTTTTTTGCTTCTTTTTAATATAAAATCAATAATGGAAGGGTGTGTTTTGGTTACTCTTTAAGTTGTATATGTGAGATTTTTGCATGTTGTTGCAATTAGTCATTCATTTATGTATATTCTTCTGCATAAATAAAAAAGTTTATCCATTTCACTAGTGATATACAGTTGGGTTCTTTTGGGTATTGGTGTAATGGTGCTGAACATGTGTGTACCTTCTTTTTCTTATCCATGCACAGATTTTTGTTCGTTATTATCAAGGAGTAGAATTGCAGGGCTATAAAATATACATATGATTAACTATCAGTTTCCCACAGCGATTGTACAGTTTATGCTTCCATCAGTGGTGTGCATGCGTGTGCCAGGTGCCTGGCAATCTCACCAGCACTTGTTATTATCAGTCTTTTTAATTTTAACCAGTATACTAGATGTGTGGCACTAGCTAGTTTTTACTTGTAGTTCCCTGATAATTAATGAGGTTGAACAGTTACTCATAGGTCTTTTTTTTTAAAAAAAAAATTTTTTTAGGTGTAGTTGAACACAATACCTTTATTTATTTATTTATTTATTTTTTTTGAAAGAGAGAGAGAGAGAATTTTTCCAACATTTATTTTCTAGTTCTCCGCGGACACAACATCTTTGTTGGTATGTGGTGCTGAGGATCGAACCCGGGCCGCACGCATGCCAGGCGAGCGCGCTACCGCCTGAGCCACATCCCCAGCCCAATACCTTTATTTTATTTGTTTATTTTTATGTGGTGCTGAAGATCGAACCCAGCCCCTCACATGTGCTAGGCGAGCGCTTCACCGCTGAGCCACAACCCCAGCCCCCTCATAGGTCTTTTGATTATCTTCTTTCTTAAGTACCTATTTGTCTATCCAAAAAAACCTTTGTGTTTTTCATATTGATTTGTATGAGTTACTTTACAAACTGATATAGGTTCTCTGTCACTTACTATATTGCAAATATCCTTTTCCATTTTGTGGCTCTCTCTGAACTCTATACTGTGCCATCTGATGATTATTCCAATTTATCAATCTGTTCCTTTGTTTCATGCTCTATCCTTGGGAAAAGAAAAAATATTTCCTGCCCCTGAATCATGGAGATACTATAAAAACTTATTGCTTTACTTTTCACATTTTGTATCTATAATTTGACTTTTTTTTTTGCATGTGAATGTATCTCACTTAGTTTTATTTTTTTGCATGGTGGGAATTAAACTTGGGTCTTCATGCCTGCTAGACAAGCACTGTACCCCTGAGCTACATCCCTAGCCCCCTCACTGAGTTTTAAACTAATCTATCTTTATTTTGTCAAGACAAGAGGCATAAATCCCTAGCCCACGATGGGAAGCAGTCAGATAAAATTGGATCATGAATGTTCTTCATAAACGAATTAGTGTAGTGTAGAAGATAAAGTGAATAGGCTTTGAGAATTGAAGTCTTCTCTTCTACCACACAGTGTCACTTGATTGTGTTTTAGATTCTTTGTCCCTTTCACAACTTGAAAGTATAGTGATTTATGGAGTGTTACCAGTTCCTCACTTGCCATTAATTCCTTAACTCACATAGTCTGGATTCTGGCTTCACCACTTGATTGAAACAGCTGGCAGAGGTTCCAGTGGCCTTCTTGCCAAGGGCGGGAGGGCATTCTGCAGGATCCTTCAGCTGTTCGCAGGTCTTGAACACATCCTTTTTTCTTTATTTTTGTCCTTGGCTCTGATTGTATAACTTTGGCAAGGTCTCAGCCTCTTTTTTTTTTTTTTAACCCTCTCTAAATTTAAATAGTTTCATTTTGAAATCTGATTGAAAAATCCCAATAAATAGGTTTGGGATGAAGCCCCATGAGTCTCTGCTAGGCCCGACCTCCTCTGCTCTGCATTGGTCTTGCCTTGGTCTGTTTCATTTTGAATCCAGGACCAAGTGAAAACGAGAGCAGCTATAACTACTAGTTAAGACAATTCCTTACAGTTTATGTAGCAGTTTTATGTGGATCACCTCATTTGATCTTCATAACACCCTGTGAGGCAGGTATTAGCCCACGGCTCCTGCTGGGAAATACCTGGTGATGCTGCTGGATTAGGTTCTGGAGTTTCCTTTTCTCTGTAACCATCTGTAATCCTTACGTGTACTTTTTTTGGCAGTACTGGGATGGAACCCTGGGCCTCAGGCATTCTCGGCAGACACTCTACCCTTCCACCCCAGCCCCCTTATGTATGCTTTTGTCTTTTCATTTTCCTTAGCTGTTTGGATTGGGACAGGGAATGTGGAGTAGGTAGGACTAGGGATGGAGACAGAGTTGGTTCTTCGGGACTCTCATCCAGGGTGACTGGGATTACAGCAGGCTCACCGCCTGGTACCTGGACTTGTAGTTTGGACACGCAAGCAAAGCATATTTTTTATTTAAATTGATATAGAGGTTTGAAAGAGAAGTAGGGAATTAATTTTTATCATAACTATAAAGTTCCTCAAACTCACAAGTGCTGGAACTCTGCGATAATTCAGTACTCAGCAGGTTGGAGTTCAGTTGTCATTGTGTGGCCATCACACTGTGGATAGTCTGAGGGGGACAGCTGTGCCTGGCACTGCTTAAACATGGCCCATGCTCTAGGTCGTGAACTTGTATGTACTGGTTGATGTGGATGTGCTTGTGCAAGCCTGGGTTAGTTTCTTAATTGGTACTCATCCTGGGAAGTGCTGGTGATTGTCGAGTCCTCAGTCTCCACTAAAGTAAGCTACTAGTTGGAGGCCTTTCTAATACAGTTTGACATGGAACACATTTGAATGTGGGCCTGTTGTTTTAAAATGCACTTTTTATAGTCAGCTCTCACTCTGGGGTTAATAGAGGGGCTCTGGGGGAGGAAGGGATATGAGGAAAGGAATTAAGATATAATTCAAAAATCAGTAATGCCTTAGGCTCTTGATCCCCTCAGGGGTAGGTTAAGGCCAACAAGGATCCTGGTCTGAGAGTGCTCACTGTTTTGCAAACAGGTATGTGAAGTTTTGACTCAAGTTCATTGCTGCAACAGCTGTTTGTTCTCCTACTTATCAGTGAAAAGGAAGTGGGTTTTGGGGACTCCATATGGAAGAGGGAGAGGATGAGCACTGGGGGCCTCGGTACCTTCTCCTTTCTCAGCCTAGGGAGTTCTGGGAGTTCGGTTCTCTGTGGGTCTGTGGTTTGGAGGTGTGGTCTCTGCTCAGCTTGGCTCTGAGCTGCATGCACCTGCTCTCCGTTGGCTGCTCATGCAAGATTGAGAGCTGTCTGTATGCATGACTCCTGAAGCATCTTTAGTAACCCCAGGGATCCATGAGGCAGTGCAAAACAATTCCTGTGAATCAAAATAGGTGATGATTCAGACATGGAGCAAGTATATTGTGGAAGGAGAGTCTCCAAGTCTCCCTGAATCTCTTCAATCTGCCTATTCAGGCAGAGTCAGGGACTGTTGATTTTCTTCAATATCATTCCGGAATTGACTTATTTGTTCCCTTTTCTTTAACATAAATAATTAAAAATTACACAGTAGCATGATTTTCTAGAGGATACAAAAACTTGTGTTTCAAGCCAGCTGGGAAATTCCCTTTAATTTTTCTGGCTTATACCACATATTTGAAGAATGTTGAACCCGAATGTTTTGAGGAAGTAAATTGCTCTTGCTATTGAGTGTGACCTGGAAGGAAATGAGAACAGTAGAACTGAAGATATAGTTTATTGATGTTTTTTCAAATTCTTTTTTGTCAGGCATCTGAAGAAGCCTCCCTCAGGGCATTGGAAAGTTTGATGACAGAATTTTTCCATGATTGTACAACCAATGAAAGAAAACGTGAGATAGGTAAGTGAAGTATTGTGCTGTGAGGAATTGTTTACAATAAGTTGGGAGGAAGGAGTTGGTGCCTTGGCTGCTCAAGCCTGCTTCTTTTCCTTTGAATCATTTCTCTTTTTCTCTGATTCTCTTTTGTGGCTGGTGAGGTCTGCAAATGTAGCTACAAGGGCATAGTGAAGGATTTTCTTTTTTGCGGGTTCTCTATGGTTGAGAAACATCTCCAACCCTTTTTATTTTTTGAGATAGGGTCTCACTAAGTTGCTGATGCTGGCCTTGAACTTGTGATACTTAGGCCTCCGGAGTTGTTGGGATTATAGGTGTGCACCACCAAGCCAGGCATCAATGGATTTTCTTTCCATTGGTCAAGTGTAAAACTTCTCTCCCACTTTATTCCTAATTTCAACAATGTTGTTGAACTTTTAAAAGAAGCCTGCAACTGTTGATTAAAATAAGTGTGAGAATTCACTGAAGTGTGAAACATGTTTTGTAGGCACAGGTCTGGTCTGAATCCCTTACCTGGTATTGCTTTGGGGGCTTCAGCTTTTTCTTATCTCTGCTATTATCTTTTTCATTCTGCAAATTTTTAGGAACTAAGGGCTTCAAACAACAAAGAGATGTAGGTGTAATCACTTCAAGTCTTCTGGGGCCTCAGCATGTTCTGGAACCCACTTTTGATTTTTATATTCATTTACACAAACAATATTAATTAAAGCATACTATGAAATAGAAACTGCATTCAAGTGTTAGATTCTGCATTAGGGGCCTGCTGTATTGTGGTGCTGGAATAGTCTTTCCCCCCCCAAATTTTCACTAAATTGAATAGAAAATGCTTTTCTCTGTCCAAACCTGCAGGCTTTTCTCTTGGGTGTCTGCTTTGTACTAATCTTTTATTCATTGCTTCCATCTCCTTGGAGGTCTCTTTCTGTGACTCCTAGGCCCTGTCTTCATTGGTTTCCCTAATCATTTTGGCCAATTAAATCTCATGGTTGAGTCCATCTTTGGCACAGAGCTCATTTGTGGTTCAGATTTTTCCAGGTGGCCAGAAGACCTCTGGCTGCCGCCCATTTCCCCTGCACTTGTTTTAAACATCACATTGGCTCCTGAGGAGATGCTGCTTCTCTTTCAGTTTTAAACTTGAAGGTGTCTTTTGGGCCTGCCCCCTGCATGTTTTTCTTCCTGAGGGAGTACGCTGTGCATCATCAGAGCATTTATGAAGGAGTCACTGACATACTGATCCCCACCCGCTCTGCCCCTCTTGCTTCTCTGATTGCTCTTATATAGGTGGGCAGACCCTCTTCTTGCTGCTAAGTGGACCACTGGCTAGTTTTATGCTACCAAATGCCTTACACTTTCAGTGAAAATACGAGCTGGGATTTTTACCAAAGGAGGAGGAGGAACTTTCCCTCACATTAGTTTACTGTGTTCTAGATTCTCATTTCTTTGAAGGTTTTTTTTTTTTTTTTAAAGCTTATGATTGAAATGCTCTTTTTTCAAAATTTTTGTTTGCAAATTACCCACCTTGTGTACTCATGAATTAAAAGTGTAACCTTCTATAACATGTTCATGTTTGAATTTGATTTTAAAATAGCTCTAAACAACCAGATGCTCCAATGTCTAATTAAATGGAGTCTGAGGGGAATCCGGAGGTTTGGTTCTACACAGTGGGCATGTCTTCTCTCAGTTCTCTTTGTACCCAGTCTTTGTAGCTTTGAGTGTGTGGGCTATAGCCATTTGCTTCTTTTCTGTTGTCTTAGGATCTAAAGGCTCTATTCCTAGCAAGGTGGGAGAAAGGAAGGAAGTCTTTTCTTAAAAGGGCTTCCCCTTCCTCCAGCAAAGGCGAGTTACTAGTGCCTAGAGGGTGACAGAGCTGTTAGAGGGGACCTTGAGAGGGCATCTGGTCCTTTTAACAGTGTAGGAAATGGAAGCATCAAGGAGCACTGACTCGCTTGGGGTCAGATTCAGTAAATTTGTGGCAGGATCTGTGCCTCGGGTTCAGCTACAGCTCATTCTGTCTGATTTGACTTCACCTCTGGGATTCATAGAGACTTCTGCTCAGTTAGTAGGACAGGCATCCGTTTCCTTTTACGGAGTTTTAATGAGACTGCCTTATTGCGTTTAGCCTAGATGGTCGGGGACTAGCAGAGCAGTGCGTTTAGGATTGGAAAGCGTTCTGCCTTTCCACAGGCTTCCTAGAATCTCAGCATTGTGGCCTTTTTGGGTTATATTTCACTGCCTGTGCAGCAGGTCAAGGTGACTGAGGGGCAGCATGTCTAGAAACATGGTGAAAGTCTCCCAGTGCTTGCTGTCTCCTGGATTTTGGCTGATGCTTGCAACAACCTAAGCAGGAGAACCATTGCCAACTGATTCAGTGTGTGGACATGCTGCTCCTGGCAGCTCTCATAATTGTTAACTCTCAGATTTTTTTTTTTTTTTTTGGTGTGTGTGTGTGTGATTTTTTAAAAAATAAAACTGACCCAAATAAAGAGAGTTAGCCAACTTGAATTCACTTAAATTTTTTTTCTGTCGTCTTTGTAAGGTCTTAATCTTTTTTTTCTCCTCATTTTGTATGAGCATGTGAACAATGTAGACTTTACTGAAGATTTATAGAGGAGCGGTTGGGAAATCCATAATAGCTCAAATGTGAGGAAACAAGCCATAATTTTTAAGAAGGTGAAATGACAGTCTTATGACTTGCCATCTACAGCTGAGCTTAAGTAAGAACTTTAACAATGAGAATTTCTCTACCTCAAAAAGAATTCACAGTAAAGTTACTGGCTTTTTGATGGCTGAGAACACTGCATTGATGGTTACCACAGAGTCAGAAAAATATTGCATCATCTGTTCTATCTTGAGAATTAGCTGGGTTTTGTGGTTGTTTTTGATGCCATTTAAATGAAGAAGCACATTTAAAAAAATAAAAAAGCCTAGCCTTCTGTTAATTGCATGTGTTTTTATAAACTTTCTTTTGTTGCTTTTTAACTTTTCCAGAGGAGCTTCTTAATAACTTTGCCCAGCAAATAGGAGCCTGGAGATTCTGCCTCTATTTTCTCTCCAGCACGAGGAATGACTATGTAATGATGTACAGTTTAACGGTTTTTGAGGTAAGTTGTCAGATAATTTCACACTTTTCTGAAATATTTGCTGTAGTCACTTTGCCATGTTATTGGGACTAGACTTTAGTTTTAATGTGACTAGGAACAGTGGGAACTCAGCCCAGGGACTTTGTCCCACACACTGCTTCTGTCTAGATGCCTGGTGTTCTGAGGCACCTTTCTGTCCTTGATACCAGACAGATCAGATGGGTGGTTGACTGTATTGTTGAGCTAAGTTGTGTTTAATGACATGTACCTATCCCCTCCCTATTATTATTTAAAAGAGAAAAATAACTAGAGAAGAACGTTATTAGAGGAGAAATGAGGCCCCCAATATCATTATCCCCCGCCACAAAGGTTTCATTTTATATTAACTTTCTTCCAGTGCACTTAAAAAATGTAATAATCATGTTAGTTAAGCTATCTGCCGGCCACCGCCACCATGTTATATTCTCAGAGGTGGTTGTACCATTATTCATCACTAGTTTTGAACAGTGGTTTAATTGTCATTATTTTGGGGTGGCCATTAGAGTCAATGGTATAATAGAAAATTTTTTGTACATATTACAGCCTTTTTGTTTTTTTTTTTTTAAAGAGAGTGGGGGAGAGAGAGAGAGAGAATTTTTTTAATATTTATTTTTTAGTTCTCGGAGGACACAACATCTTTGTATGTGGTGCTGAGGATGGAACCCGGGCCACGTGCATGCCAGGCAAGCGCGCTACCGCTTGAGCCACATCCCCAGCCCAGCCTTTTGTTTTTATTAGATTATTTAGCAGGTTTTCCTAGGAACGTGGTTGTTATATCACAGGATTTTAATATTTTTGTTGCTCTTTTTGCCAAATGCTTCAAACCATTAGGATTTTTTTGGAAGTGAACTAGTTATTTTTGCATGTAGATCATTAATTTAAAAGATGTATGTTTGTTTTTCAGAATCTGATCAATAAAATGTGGCTTGGGGTCCCATCTCAGGATAAGATGGAAATCCGCAGCTGCCTGCCCAAACTCCTTTTGGCTCACCATAAAACCTTACCTTACTTTATCCGGAACAAACTCTGCAAAGTTATTGTTGATATAGGACGTCAGGATTGGCCCATGTTCTACCATGACTTTTTTACTAATATTTTACAGGTAAGGATATTCCTGAGGAAAATTTATGCTGTCAATTATTTGTTTGCAGAAGTTATTGTTTCTTTCCCTTGAGGAACACTGTTTTAAGATCAGTGACATGGGACTTCGGTCCTGAGGTTATTGCAGGATTATTGCATTCACTTAACTTTATATTCCTGAGACATGTCGTCACTTTCTGTAATGGAGGAATGGGGAAGAAACCCCACCACTTTGTTAACCTCTGGTGAAATTGGGTTCAGTCTGTGAGTTATTGTAGGTATTGGGGTGTGAAGATGAGGGCTTCTGTAGTTTCTGAAATTAGTGGGAAAATAGCTGTGTGAACAGTTAACCATTGACAATGGTGTACTTACTATAGTAGAAGCACACGCAGAGTGCAGAGCTGTCAGGGCACATAGGCTCAGTGTTGCTGGGCTTAGGGGTGAGCTGGGGAGGCAATGGTGGGGTTTCAATGTTTAATTCATAGTTCTTTCTTGGGAGTTGATGAGAGGGGGAAAAAACAGACACATTTTCACATTGGAATGATGATGCTCCCATAGAGGGGAGGCAAGAGGGAAGGGGACCTGTAAGGCAGCTGTTGGAGTCTGGCAAGGTTTTCCAGGCCAAGAATGAAGGAAAGGGAATAGTTTTGGGTAGAAGATGGTAACTTCTGTTTGACAGAAAGTACATGTATGATTTGTGTATTTTAAATAAAACAACAAAAAAGGTGCGTTTTTTTTTTTTTTGTTGTTGTTGTTCTGTGTGATATCTAGGAAATGAAGATCTGGGGTTTAGGAGAGAGGTGTGGTTATAGGCAGGATTGGAAGCTGTTAGGGAATAGGTGGGCCCTAAAAGCTAAGGGAGATGCTATTGTTTATTTGAATCATGTGATCAAGATGGAAACATTTTCATGTTATTAAGACAGTATTGGGTATACAGGAAATGGACACTAGGTGCTTTTATAGAAATAAAATCCTTTGAAAATTGGCTGTGATCTGAGTACGTGTAGGTTGGGATTTTTCAGAATGCTGTCTTTTTTTGGGCGGGGTGGTGGTGGTGGGGTGTGTGGGGGAAGAGGTTACCCAGGATTGAATTCAGAGGCACTCAACCACTGAACATCTCCAGCCCTATATTTTTTTTTTTGTGTGTGTGTGTGTGTGTGTGTGTGTGTGTCTTTGGTGCTAGGGATTAAACCCAGGGTCTTGTGCATGTTCACATGCAAGTACTCTATCAAGTGACCTATATTCCCAGCCCTATTTTGTATTTTATTTAGAGACAGGGTCTTACGGAGTTGCTTAGAACCTTGCTTTTGCTGATTCTGACTTTGAACTCGTGATCCTCCTGCCTCTGCCTCCTGAACCACTAGGGTAATAGGCATGCGCCACTTTGCCTGGCCCAGAACACTATCTTTTTCTGATGTTTTCCTGCTTTCCCTACAAAACATTTGAATGATGCATCAATTTTAAAAACATTTGGTATCCATTTATGGCTTCTCTTAGATTGCCTCAAGAGTGACCTGAGAATTCTTTATTTAGTTTTGTTTTGTTCTATATGATTCATTTACCTCGAGACTTGTTGGATTATAATGCACAGAAGAGTGATGCACTTATTCAGAAAACTGCTTATTGAGACCTGCCATGTGCTAACCAAGTATGAAGTAGGAGTATAGTAGTGAATAGATGTAGTCTTCCCCTTTATTCTTGGGATATGACCCAAGGTTCCTAAGGAAAGGTTGAATCACTGGTAGTATTAGGCCCTAGATGTTACTGTGTGTATTCCTCTACACACATGCTTATGAGAAGGTTTAATTTATAAATCAGGTACAGCAAGAGATGAGTAATAATAACTAATAATAATATAGAGCAGTTATAACAATGTATTGTAAAAAAATTATGTGGTCTCTTCCCCATCAGAATCTTCCTATACTTCTACGTTTTCTTTTTTAAAAATCTATTTATTTATTTATGTATTTATAGCAGTAGAATGCATTAGAATTCTTATAGAGCTCAATTTTTCATATCTCTGGTTGTATACATAGTATACTCACACCAATTCGTGTCTTCATACATGTACTTTGGATAATAATGATCATCACATTCAACCATCATTAATTTCCCCATGCCCCCTCCCTTCCCCTCTTACCCCTCTGCCCTGTCTAGAGTTCGTCTATTCCTCCCATGCGCTCTCTCCCTATTCCACTATGAATCAGTTTCCTTATATCAAAGAAAACATTGGGCATTTGTTTTTTTGGAATTGACTAACTTCACTTAGCATTATCTTCTCCAATGCCATCCATTTACCTGCAATATTCTCTTTTATTGCTGAGTAAAATTCCATTGATTATATATGCCACATTTTTTTCTATCCATTCATCTACTGAAGGGCATCTAGGTTGGCCCCACACAGTTCAGCTATTGTGAATTGTGCTGCTATAAACATTGATGTGGCTGTGTCCCTGTAGTATGCTGTTTTTAAGTCCTTTGGGTATAGTCTGTTGAGGGTCACATCTGAGTCGAGATGTGACACATGGCATTTTTGCCAGAAGTAGTGGTTGAGAGGTGACGCTAACGAGCCATTAAGATGATGACTTTTGAGTTCTGGCGGAGTTCCCGTTGAGTTCCGCTTGAGCTCTCGCGGGGATTTCCGGAGAGTTCCCATTGGTTGGGGAAGTGCCGGAGGAGGGATATTTCCGGTTGCTGGTTCCTGGAGGAGCGAGTGGCGTTCGGGAGAGAGTTCCTGGGGGGGAGCGTATGTGGGGTGTGCTGGTGGAGTTCAGAAATAAAGTTTGTTCCTGCTTCAGTGGCTCGTGATTTGTGCCCAGCCAGACTGCGGCGATAGTCCAAGAAGAGGGATAGCTGGGTCAAATGGTGGTTCCATTCCCAGATTTCCAAGGAAACTCCAAACTGCTTTCCATATTGGCTGCACCAATTTGCAGTCCCACCAGCAATGTATGAATGTGCCTTTTTCCCCACATCCTCACCAACACTTAATGTTGTTTGTCTTCATAATAGCTGCCATTCTGACTGGAATGAGATGGTATCTTAGAGTAGTTTTGATTTGCATTTCTCTAATTGCTAGAGATGATGGATATTTTTCATATATTTGTTGATTGATTGAATATCCTCTTCTGAGAAGTGTCTGTTCAGGTCCTTGGCCCGTTTGTTGATTGGGTTATTGGTTTTTTTGGTGCTTAGCTTTTTGAGTTCTTTGAGATTAGTGCTCTATCTGATGTGTGAGGGGTAAAAATTTGCTCCCAGGATGTAGGCTCTCTATTCACCTCACAGATTGTTTCTTTTGCTAAGAAGAAACTTTTTAGTTGAGTCCATCCCATTTATTGATTCTTGATTTTAATTCTTGTGTCACAGGAGTCTTATTAAGGAAGTTGGGTCCTCATCTCACAGGATGAAGATTAGGGCCTGCTTTTTCTTCTGTTAGACGCAGGCTCTCGGGTTGTATTCCAGGAAGCTTCTTTCTCTTTGGCAGATATGGCTAAGAGAAGTGTACTGTCCTTGCACCTTAAGTGAAATAAGGGTTGAAATAAGGGTTCTTTGAACATCACTGAAGTGCCAAGACTGTTGATCTGCTGACTGAGGTGGCAACTCTGCCTAATGGGACACACTGGACAAGGGAGGACTCATATCTAATGTGGATTGGAGCAGGATTCCGAGATTTATCACATGACTCAAAAGGGCTTATTGTATAAAACTTAGCTATTTGTTTCTGGAATTTCTGTTTAATTTTTTTAGACCATGGTTGACTATGGGTAACTTCAACCTCAGGAACTGAAATTGTGACAAAGGGGGTACTTCATTTGAAGTACTTGCCATTAGGGAGTTTAGATTTTTAAGGTGGGGACTGCAGCAAACCATAGCAAGTGAATACCGTGAGGTAGTTAAATAAGTATCGTGAAAAAAACTGAATCCAGGGTGGGTGAAGAGACTCTCGGGGTGTTATTTAGATGGGATGCTCTTGGACACACAGTTGAGTAGAAACCTGAGCAGAAGTGTTGGAGTGGGCCATGTGGGTACCTAGGGGAATAGTGTTAGGAGCAGAAGGAATTGCAAGTGCCAGGACCCTGCGGAATAGCGGGATGCTGGAGAGCCCAGAGAGCTGGAGGTAGGTCACAAGGTCCTGGCTGCTACACTTGCCTTCCTGCCCAGTTGAGGACAGTATTGGTAACTTCATGGCTCCTAGGGGGGAGCCAGGGAAGCCTGCTGGGCGTCTTAAGTGAGTTGACTCCTGGTTTGTCTATGTCTTGGAGAAGCAGCGAGGAATGTCAGGTGGAGACCTGAATCCTAGTGGTGGTCGGCTAGGAGGAGCTGTTTCTGCCCTGATGGGATTGGTTCTGTGGATGAAGCCTGGAGCATAATGTCCTGTCTTTTCTTTCTCTCTCTTTTTTCATAACCAGGGATTAAACCTAGGGGTGCTCAACCACTGAGCCACATCTACAGCCCTTTTATTAATTTTGAAATTTTGAGACAGGGACTCTCATTAAGTTATCTAGGGCCTTGCTGAGTTGCTGGGTTGCTGACTTTGAACTTGGGAGTCTGAGGCACAAGGATCACAAGTTGCTGGTCCTGTCTGCTCTTGAAGCCTAATTATTTCTAACATATGAGAATCTAAAAGAACATTTTTAGTTGAAACACTCATAGAGGTTTAGAAAGATTGGTTGTGTTTTGTGCTCCACAATTACCCACTTCGTACTTGTTCAAAAACAGCTCCTTTCGCCTGAAGCCTTCATGACTTTGAAACCACAGATTGTGGAGGGAACACTGGACCGGGAGGCCGAGGGGTGAGTTCCTTGTCCTTTGCTGTGTAAGTCATCTCCGACTGCAGCAACCCCGAGCCTCCGTTTTCTTCTTTGTAAAGTGAAAGGGCTGGACTAAGCAGTGTTTAAAATCCTTTGTAATTATATTATTTCCTACTTCTAATTTATCCATGCAGTCAAGTCAGTGTATGGAAGCCAGGTCAGGAGTGATGCATGCTCAGTTGCTGACAGTTCTGATAATGATAATAAATTAAACCTTTTCTCCAGTTACTGGTAAACAAGAGCAAACTGGTTCTAGAACAGAGCTAACTCTGACAGGATCCTGAGAGTAAAACATATAAGAGGTTTTTTGGCTCTTTTCTGCTGTGTTCAGTTTGCAGCCTAGGTGCCTAGATTTGTCTTTTTAAGAAACTCTTGACACTAGACTGGGAATCTGTGCAGTTTGTTATAATTGTGGCAAACTTAATACCAGGCAGAGAGTTGATTCAGGCTCACAGCATCAAAACTTCTGTGGGTTGGTTATATTGTTTCTAGGCCACTGGAGAAGGAAGTAATTGAACTGACCTCAGTTCTCCTCCCCATCCCACCCCCTGCACCAGCACACACAGGACACCTTTCTAGAATCTGTTCTCAAGATTCCAGAAATCTGCAGAGGCCAACCAAACCTCTGGTCACATTGTGCCTGGGTACAGATAATTAAGGGACAAGCAGCACAGGAAAGGCTAGCTCGCTCTTCTGTTTGTTTCTGGTTGTGTTTCAAAACTGTTAAACCTTTTAGAAGTTCACTAGAAATCTGATCTTGATCTTCCCTAAACATACTTACTTGTTAAAAATCAGTTGCAGAGGGTTGGGGATGTGGCTCAAGCGGTAGCGCGCTCGCCTGGCATGCGTGCGGCCGGGTTTCTTCCTCAGCACCACATACCAACAAAGATGTTGTGTCCGCCGAAAACTAAAAAATAAATATTAAAAAATTCTCTCTCTCTCTCTCTTAAAAAAAAAATCAGTGGCAGAGATTACAGTATTGTGAGCTTAAATTATATATGTGAAGATGACAAAGGGAAGCATTTTAATAAAGTTTTTTGGATAAAAAGTTAATGAGAAGAAAGTTTACACGGTACTCAAGTTCTTTTTTTTTTTAAGTAAAGAATGACTTTTTCTAGCATATTTGAGGCCCCAGGTTTGATTTCCAGTACTGCCCCCCCCTCAATAAAAACAAAAAACCCTAAACCCACAAAAACCGAAACAATAGCAACCAAAACCAGGAAGCAACCAGGAAGAATGACTGTTTTTTCATCAGGCTTCTTGCCTTGCCTCTTCCTTCCCCTAAATGATGAGAGAAGGGAGAGCTTTATGGTACATTTCTCATTTTGTAGGATTTTCTTTTCTCTCCCCCCCAGGAGCACAGAAGCATTAACTGTCTATAGGACAAAGGACGTGCCAAAGGAAGCAGTTGGCAACACAAGTCCTTCCCAGCTCAGAAAGTAGGGCTGAGGGCTTGGGGGAAAGTAGGGCCAAAGAGGAAGAAGAGACAGGAAATAAAGGGGAAAGGAATGGCAGCTTTTATCTGGAGCAGAGATTGGTAACCCAGAGGTCTCCTGAAGAGGGCCAGTTCTACTCCACGGTGAAAAATGCGTAGGGGCAGGTTTCCTGTTCTTCTAGTGTGTGATTTGATTTTAAGTTAGTGTTAGAAATAGTTCAGCTTTGTAGGAAAATGAAGAGAAAAATTGCAGAGGTGGTAGCACTCCACAGAGCTGCCTGTCACAGAGCTGTAGCACATGGCTGGTGGTTGCTGGCCTCACAGGGTGCCGTCTTTGTGAGCAGGTGGAGTTTTCTTATGGTTCCTCTGGAGAGTGCTGTTCATACTTTTTGGAGATGAGATTTTCCTTAGATGTGATGGGAAGAGTTTTCAAGGGAAAGGAAGGTGCCCCTGCAGTTTTTGAATGAAGAACATCTGGTTTGTGGGTGCACTTCCTGAGCCTATGTTTCGTAGCTTGAGTAAAGAACTTAAGTGTGCCAGGGAATGAACCACATGTAAAGTTCATGATGACTAAAGGAAAAGTGAAGTTCTCCTTAAATTGTTTCCTTTTAATAGATTGTAGATATAACTTAGCAGAGAACGTGAATGGCAACTTGAGCTTACTTTGATCATTTCTGGAAACTAGGAAATAAACACAATAATAATGTTCTGAATTTTGTTGAAATTATTAGGAAGATATGTGACCTTTTTTTCTATCTTTTATTTAATTAGACTTATGGTAGAATATAAAAAAAGCAACTTAATTCTCTACATAATTATTTGCAAAACTATAACATAATCATAGTTTAATGACACGTATGTGTGTTGCTGCTTTGCCATGTTTAATCTTGAATTTTCCTGAAGCATGCAAAGCTTAAGAATGTAAAGTTTACTTAACAACCTGAATGTTGAAAAGAAAGCACAAATTAATTTACACATATTTTAATCACTAATATGCAAAATATAGTTACCACTAATATATACAGTGATGTGCCACTTAACAACAGGCACATTATGAAAAATGCATTGTTAGTGTGTCTTACACACCACTGGGTGGTATAGCCTACTACACATTTGGCTGTGTGGTGTGACTTGTTGCTGCTTGTTGCAAACCTATGCAGCCTGATACTAGACTCCCAAATACTGTAGGCACTGTTAACACAGTGGTGGATGTTTGTGTATTTTTAGTGTATTTAACATTGAAAATATGCAGTAAAAATGCAGGATGATAGGAATTTTTCAGCTCTGTTGTAATCCTATAAGACCACTGTAGAGTATGTGGTCTGTCCTTGAAGGAGATGTCAGTACTCTGTGTGCTCCGTGTGTGTGTGTGTGTGTGTGTGTGTGTGTGTGTGTGTGTGTAATTAGATCATTAGGCAAAGAGTAACAAGGCTCTGTTGGGAGTCGGAACTTGTATAAAAATTGTCATGTTATATATGTGAGAGCACACTGTCTGGTTGTCTAGTTTTTAAGTTCATGGTATTAGATTTTTGTAAGGGAATTTTTTTTTTCATTTTATTGTACTTCAATTTTACTTCAATAAAGCTATGGGGGAAAAAAGTAAGACAATTTTTTTGTGTGTGTTTTTGCGGTACTGGGTGTTGAACCCAGGGCTTTGCATGTGCTAGGTAAGAGGTCTACTACTGAGCTACACGCCCAGGTTGGTAAGAATATATTTTGAATGGTTAGTAAGGCTATATAAATTGTTCTTAAATTGTTTTTGTAGTGTTGATTTATGTAGCCTATTCATGTAAGATCAAACATGTACAAAGATACTACCCAGGTTTGGTGCTATGAAGTCCTCTTTGTGCCAGACGCTGCTCAGAATTTGTTTTTTCTTACTAGTTGATCCAGTCACCTGTGACAACCCCCCTTGGGCTGATCATGTTGAAGACAACTTCGGAAGAGCTAGCTTGTCCCCGCGAGGATCTTAGCGTGGCTCGGAAGGAGGAGTTGCGGAAGCTGCTGCTAGACCAGGTGCAGACGGTGCTCGGGCTCCTGACAGGTGAGCAGTTTGGCACCCATGGACAGGGGTCTGCCAAGATAGGCAGAACTCAGGTGCCGCAGTCCGGCTGCAGCAGAATAACCGGGGGGGGGGTGACGTGACGAATAACTTGTGTACGTTGATGCAGCAGGAATAGGAGCCGTTTATTGTAGGACAACAGAGTTATTTATACTCTGGCGGCACTCAGGCCTTTTGAACTGTTCCTGAACTGAGCATAAAAGTATAAAAGTGTACAGAATATAGTGCTGCTCTCACGGGTTAGGACTACAAATAGATTTGTAACTTAATTTTCTTATAGTCTTGACTGATCCTCACCATTCCTGTGACTAGCAAGGTAGAGTCCAAGTCATGGAATTGATTGAAATACTGATACTGTAGTGTAAGGTGGGTGGCAAGCACTTTATTTAAAATGATTTGAATTTAAGATCAGGAGAATTTGCAGGAATAAGTTGATATGAAAATTTCCCATTCTTTGTTGGGAGGTAAGATGAGACGTGGAACCAGTCCCCGTGCTCTGAGGTGTATGTAGCTTCTCACCTTGTCTGTTCAGTTAGAGCCTCATGACATGTGAAGGATGAGAGTAAACAGGAAGCAAGCCACCCAGCGAGGCAGGCGGGTGCAGGGAGAGTGGAGCACAGGAGTATCAACGGCCAGGTGCCTGCTCAGTGGGCGGGGGGTGTGCCGTGCCAGCCCAGGTCCCGAGTGTCCTTGGCCAGGCTCACTACTTGAAGGAGTGCTGTAGTCAGAAGAGATCTAGTCTCCAACTCCTCTGCTCTAGGTTTTCTGTATGTTTAGGATTTCTTTCTTTCCTATGTCCTCTTAAGTGCTTGGCATGTGTGGGCAATTAAATTATTGATACTATGATTGAGAGTGAACTTATCATTTTCCCCTCAACATTTCCCTAGATCCCAGGTGGAAGCTCAAGTGTAGACCATCCACTCAGCACACTAGGTGCTCAGTTGATAGTTAGGGACCTCATATTAATAGCTCTGTGTCCTGTGCCTACCAGCATTTTAAATATTTTAAGACTTGAGATATAATTCACATTTCATAACTTTCATCACTTTAAAATGCAGCAGTCAAGTGGTTTTCATATACTCATAGGTTGTGCAGCCTATCACCACTAACTGCAGAACAGTTTCCTCATCCCAGAAAGACACCCTGTACCCATCAGTAGCCACTCCTTCGTCCCTCTTCCCATTCCCTGGAAACCAAGAATCTCCTATCTGTGTGTGGATTTGCCTATCTTAGACTTTTCTTAAAATAGAATCATAATATACAATTTTTTGTGTCTTTTTGTGTCAGGTCTCTCTCATTTAACATCTTTTCAAGATTTATCCATGTTGTAACATGGATTGATATTGTGGGGACAAAATATTTTCATAAGCCTCTATGAAAATCTCCTGTGCCAGGTTCTGTAGGTACACAGAGAATAAGAAGTTCTTGCCCTCATTGGGGAGAGGCAAGGAAACAGACAGGTAAAACAGTGTCTTGGGGTGAAGAGGTGTGTTCCATGTGCAGGCACCACTGAGCAGGCAGGAAGTCTTCCTGGAGAAGGTGACAGCTGAGTGGAATTCTGAGGGCCAGCCAGGTGGCAGTTCGCCTAGAGGAAAGGCCAACTTGGGATTTGGAAGAGGAGTGCAGGACAGAAGTTGAGAAAGAAAGAAGACACCTGTTTAAGGAACAGCAGGTGGTCTGGGCAGTGCATGTGTGCGTGTGGGCTGGGCTGCAGGCGCGGTCTGAGGGCTGGGCCAGAGGGGTGAGCAGAGGCCTGTTTGTAGGTGAGGAACGTATGAGGATTAGTGACAGGTTTGGGAGGGAAGAAAAATTGAATCTGGGACATCCAGGAAGCAGATGGACCTGCAGGACTGTGAGTGAATGGCTGGCCTTTTTCTAAATCCCTGTCAGGACTGGGAGTCGGTGAATATAGTTTGGGATGAGTTTTGGCCTGAGAAACTCCCCCACAGGGTTTTGTTGAAGCCGTGGCTGTGGGTGAGCTACTCCAGCTGAGAGGGTGAAAGGAGAGGAAAGAGGGCCAAAAGAGAGAAGCTGAGAAAGACAAGTAGTTACGTGATGAATGGCAGAGCATCATAGAGATGGTGAAAGAGGTGGAGTCTTATTTAAAGAAACCAAGAAAATCCAGAAAAGGATGGCATCGTGGGGCTCAGAGAAGAGTTTGGGCAGCGCCCAGAACACCATGGAGTGGTGAAGGAGGATGAGGTTTAAAGCAGCCCCGAGAGGACACAGCAGCCAGCTGGCCTGGGCACGAGCAGAGCTGGGGGAGACGGTGGGGAGGGCCCCATGGCCAGGTCCGTGAAGCAGCAGAGATCCTGAAGAGGACCTCGCTCTCCAGAAGGCAGCTGGAGGTGAAGCAGAGAGGTGCAGCCATTAGCTAGAGGGGCCATGTGGCTGAGAGCTGGCTGTTTAAACACTGATGGTTGATTATAAAGGTATCAATAAATCACAATAAATAACTTTTTAAAAAAAAATGTTAGTCCTGAGGATTTAACCCAGGGGTGCTTTACCACTGTGCTACATCCCTAGCCCTTTTTTATTTTTTATTTTGAGGCAGGGTCTAAGTTGCTGAGGCTGGCCTCGAGCTTATGATCCTTCTGCTGCAGCCTCCCAAGTCACTGGGATAACAGTCGTGTGTCACTGTGCCTGGCTTCAATAAATCACTTTTTAAATTTTGATTTTTATGTGCTGGATTTTATATCTCAAACTCAGCTTCTCTTTTTTTATAGGTATCTTGGAGACTGTCTGGGACAAACACAGTGTTACTGCTGCCACTCCACCACCATCCCCGACCTCAGGAGAAAGTGGTATGGGCTGTGTTCAGCTACAGCATTTCTGTCTTTAAACATGGTCAGGCGTCTCGCAGGGCCACGTACAGATGTTTGTTCTTTCCTAAGCTATTTTGGTTTTTCTTCCCCCGCTATCTGAGTGGCTAGCTTTCTACTGTTTTCGTAGGTGCATGTGCTGTTTAATATAATATTTTTGAAAAGCACTTCTTCCTTGTCCATCATGCACATGGCGTCTCTGATCTTCTGTCATTCACCTCTGTTTCTGTCAGGTTTAACTGCTGCCCCTCCTAGTTGGTGGCCCTCTTTGTTTTTTCTCTTTTTCTCAAATTGTATTGCTGTGTTGCTTGTGCTGAGGTTGACATGAGCCTGAGGGTTTACAGATCTGCTCCCCCTTCTGTAGGGTGGAGGCAGCCCGAAGGGGACGATATAGGAATATGGAGCACTGTCTTCCCCCTTGGACCAGGGCAGAAGTCATGTTGGCCAGGATAGATTGGGGAGCAGTGTGCAGTAGTCAGTGCTGAATTTACATCGGTTAAGAATAATTCAATCAAGCCTGGGTGTATTAGCATTCATTGATTATTAAATACTTCATGGGTAGGTAGTAATTGTCCACAGTTATATCTGTTTCAAAAGTCATCTAAATATCTGCTTCAGAAGCCATTGAGTACTTTCAAAGATGGATAGAAAGAGGAAATTGTGTATGAGCAGGAACTTTTAGTTTGTAAATGCTTCTGTTTACACTAAATATCACAGATGCTTTTCAAGTAAAGTACATCCTGTGAATTGGCACATATTTCTTCCTCTACTGTAAAAGTTGATGTGGCTGATGAGAAGTATTTCCACATCTTTCTCTCTTACCCCAGGGAAATGGACTGTTGAATGCAGACGTCTCTAAGCTCAGGCTGTTTTGTATAGCCTGTTGCTGATAATGTAGAAATTGAAGTTCTTTCAGTTATTGGAGAATTGAAAACATTCCATGAATTTTGAGGCTGCTGATAAATGTATCTCAAATTGCATTTATCGTACTTGGATTAAAAACTGTTAGATATTTATTAGACTACTTGATTAAAAACTATTACAGAGAGTCCTAGAGTATTAAAAGCCCATGGGAATTTCAGCTTTATTTGTACTTGCTGGCAAACCCAATAAAAGTTGGGTGTTTGAAGTGGCTCAGCATATTTGTATTTTGAAGTGTTTGAAGGATTAAAGAATAATTTGTAAATGATGTATAGATTTGATTTTGTGGTTGGACAGATACTTTGTAGCATCCTATTATTTGCCTACTATTTTGGGGGGATATGGGGGAGTTATGGGAAATTGAACCACTAAGCCACATCCCCAGCCCTATTTTGTATTTTGTTTAGAGACAGGGTCTCACTGAGTTGCTGAGGCTGGCTTTGAACTCATGATCCTCCTACCTCAGCCACCCAAGCCACTGGGATTACAGGCATGTGCCTGGCTTGCCTAGTTTTAAGTTTGTCATTTAATTGCAAAGATTAGTTATTTGGAATTAGATTTGTCTTTAGTTAATGCAGTACTAGTCTAGCATCTAGTTTAAGTTAGCCTCAGCTGTTTACTGCAGTAAAATTTAATTGTTTTTCTGAACTCATTTTCATTACCAAGAGCTGTGTTTTACTTGGCTTTGTTCAAGTATGTTCGGAGCTAACTACATTTATATTCTGATAGACTTGATTTTCCTTGGGGTCCAGTTGGGGAATATCAGATCTTACAATTCAGAAATATATGCTTATCTGTTTTATGGGTTGCGTAGGTTATGCTTATGAGTTTAGGTGAAGTAACCTGACACTTTGTATTATAAAACCTAAACACATTGGTGCCTGCTTCTTGGGAATTGCCATTTAGATGCTGTTCAATTTTTTGAAGTCCTGAATTTTGGTATTTGAGAAAAAGCTAAATAAATTGAGACTTTTTTTGGTGTGGAGTGGGGATCGAAGGGAGTTAAGTAAGCTGGTTTACTTCCTCTTTTTTTGTTTTTGAAGAACTACATGTTCATTTGTTAAGTTTTTTCTCTTTGTAATTGTACATGAGGTCATCAGAGCTTGCTCCATTATTTGCACAGTGCTGATGATTTAATCAACATATATTTTGCTGCTTTTACTCAACTATCTTTGTGCACTTAAGACACCAAGTAAAACTTCCTGAAAACTCTTTCTTTAGCATTCTTAACCCCATAAACTCAATTTTGTAGAGGAAATTCATTCTGAGAAACTCCAATGCCAGCAAATAAAACAAACTAATTCCTTAGCGCACCCCATCGGCAGTGCCTGCTGGATGTACACTGTTCTGCCTGAAGTCTGTCACTCACAGTCAGATTTAGGAGCCTCCTCAGGCTTTTGGTCCTCCTGCCCCACCCCTGGGTGCTGGGGATTGTACCCAGTGCTGTACCGTACACTTATCAGTCATCTCCTGTGCCCTTTCTTTTGGTATAATTTTCTGTTTGTCACTGTCAAAGATGAAAGACCTGCAAAAGCTACTCTAGGCCTGGATGTAGAAAAAGATTTGAAGGCCACATATGGTTCATTTCTCAGTTGTTCCCCAGATCATTGCCTCCCCTTCCGAGCCTCCTCCAGTGCTTGCCCAGACTGCTGTGGAGCAGCTGGTGGTTCATCTCTCATTTACAACCAAGGGAACTGGGGCTTCTGGAGGAAACTTGCTGGAGATGACAAGTCTCGTGAGTGGTGGAACTGAGTGAGTGAATGCTAGAACATTGTCCCAAAGTCTGGGCACACAGTCTGTGTCCTAACTTTGGCCTTCTTAGTCACTATCACCGCTTCTGGTGGCATCCTCCTTCCCCTGGTTTGAGTCCTAGCCTTGCTACTTACTGTGTGACCTTAATTTGATCCTTTTACCTTCTCTGACCATTGATGTCCTCAGCTGTAAAAAGAGATTAACTACCTCTGAGGATGAATAGGGGAGGAAGATGTGGATAGTGTTTCCCACCCAGGACGGCCGTTCCTTCCTACTGCACTTTTGCGGCCAGTGCCTCTTAGTCTCCTGTTGGCTGTGTCTCTTCCTGTTTGGACAGATGACTCTTCCCAGTCGCATTTGCAAATCTTTTCACTTATCCCATATAAACTACCTGTAGAAAGATGAGACTCAGGAGGGTCACCCACAACTCCTTGTGATGCCATGTTCTTCTCCTAGGGGCTCCTTGAATAGAATCTTCCCTTACTTTATTGAGTTGAGGCTACAGTTACAGTAGTGGTTCTTAGCTGGGATGTTTCGCCCCACAGGGAACATTTGACGGCATCTGGAGAAGTTTTTGGTTAACACAACTGGAGAAATGCTGTTGGCATCTAGGCCACGGAGGCCGGGATGCTGCTGAAGAGGCCTAGATGAGAAACATGTTAAAATGTTCTTTTTTTTTTTTTTTTTTGAGGGGATTAAAAGAAAGCAAACAAACCACAGATCATCTCTATCTAAACAATTTTTACCTTTTTACCTTGCATGATTCCATTGTATCTTTGTTCTTGTGCATATAGTTGCAGTTATGGCATATACAGTTTATTTTATGTATGATTTTAAATCCTGCATATTTTTCTGTATTATTACCTTTCTCGCTATTCTTTTTTTCCTAGGTAAATAATCTTTCTAGTTGACAAGTATTTTGGAAAGGACATTGGCTTTGGAGCCAGACCTGATTTCAGTTTCATTTTTCTGTCTTATTGGCTGAGGGACTAGATGGAACACTTGATCCATCTAAGCCTAGGCTATCCTAATAGTTCCTAATCATAGCTATTAATAATTTTTACCTTACAGCTATTTAAATGAGAATTGGCATTAAAGGAGAATGAGAACACACATGTAAAGTTGTCAGCATGGGGCTGCCGGGCCAAGCAAATAATAACACAAATGGGAGCTATTAGAAATCCCTTCCTGAGAAAATTTTTCTGAGCCCACAGAATAGGGACAATTTTTAAATCTACTTTTAACTAGGAAATTAAGCCCTATTATTAAAAAATAACAGCCCTCATGTAATGACTGAGGAGATTAGGGTCAGACTGAGAAAGGTTAACTTACTTGTTTATATTAATAACTAAAGTAGAAGTTCTTGACAGGTTTGGGCACCTTTGGAGGTCCCCCTTCCCCCTTTTTTGGAAGGTCCCACGGGTCAGTTGTATATTCACAGAAATCCTAAGACATTGTCATTTAGTCCCATTCTCTTACTACGAAATAATAAAATGTTCAGATTCTACATGGATGTGAGCCTATTAAGAAGTTACTTTGGGGGTTGGGGTTGTGGCTCAGTGGTAGAGCGCTCGCCTAGCACATGTGAGGCTCTGAGTTCGATCCTCAGACCACATATAAATAAATAAAATAAAGGTATTCTGTTGAAGTAGAACTAAAAAAAATAAATATTAAAAAAGAAGTTACTTTTGATATATTAAAGAATAACCACAGTCTTCTGAAAAGTCATCTTTTTAAATTGTACATCTATATGAAGCTGAATCTTCATATATTTCAATGAAAACAATATATTGCAACAGATAAATGCAGAAGCAGATGTGAGATTCTAGCTATCTTTTTAAAGGAATTTCTAAAACTGTAAAAAATTATACTACTACTCTTACTAATTTGGGGGGTAAAATATTTTTTACTCATTTTTTATTTAAAAATGTTATTTGTGCTAATGTGTTTATTATTTAAGTGAATTAAATATTTAAAAAGTTCTCAACTTTAATTTCCAGTTAGCTAATGTCAATAGAAATAGCCCTCATAAGATTGGGGATATAGCTCAGTTGGTAGAGTGTTTGCCTTGAATGCACAGGGCACTAGGTTCAATCTCCAGCACCACAAAAAACCAAAAAACAAAAACCCCAATAACAATGGAGAGAAATAGCTCTCATAAATAAAAGCTCTTTGGGATCTTCAGTAATTTTTAAAAGATTGTGAAGGTGTTCTGAGACCCAGACATTTGAGACCTCCTGCTATTAAGTATAAAATGTGAGAATTTACCTGGTATTCTATATAGAAATAATACCAACATTAAATTATATTTGGTGATCTTTATAGACTTTTCTCTATACCTGACACAGGACAGACAGATTAGATTAGATAAAAAATTATATCAGTGGCATAATATCGTATTTTTATTTTTAATAAAAACAAATTTTAGTTTTGCTTGGATTCAACAGAAGTCATTAAACTGAAGGAATTGCCGACCTTGAGGTGTTTTTTCCATGGATACATTTCTTTAAGAAAGAAAATCTCTAAGAAGAAAAGATTATGAAAACCCACTTCTTACTACAGATATTAGTTTAAGACCATGTATTTTGGGACATCTTCCTTGTGAAAGTTGTGAAAGACCACCCATTGCTAGTGCAGGCGTTAGGCTTTTGAAAGGCCCTGGGGCTGATCTATTGCAAGCCCCTGTACCCCCCCCCCCAAAAAAAAAAAAAGTTTATTTGTGGGCCCTGAAAGGTCTTGGAGTTCACCCAGGTCCCTACAGCAAACTTTGAGCTGGGTGCTGTGGAGAACACGTGTAGTCCCAGCTACTTGGGAGGTGGAGTTAGGAGGGTTTTGTAATCCCAGGAGTTGGAGACCAGCCTGGACAATATAGCAGGAGCCTGTCTCATAAAAACCAGAAACAAAAAACCCAGCCCTTTAGAACTGAGGCTTTGTAGTAATGCTTGTATTTAAAATTCTAAGTCACAAGGGCAGATTGTGAATTTAATCATACTGCATAGTTCATGGCACTTGAGTGTCATTGATTGATGTAAGACCTCACTCATTATTTTTTTATGTATGCCCCAGTCCGGCTGCAGCAAAATAACCGGGGGGTGATGAACAACTTGTTGCGGCGTATGTTTTCTGTTTCACCATGCTTCTGCTGTCCCCCTCTCCCACAGTGAACAGCCCTTTTAATCTCTTTCTCTCTCTCTTTCTCTCTCTCTTTCTCTCTCTCTCTCTCTCTCTCTCTCTCTCTCTCTCTCTCTCGTAACATGTTCTTGTAAAACTTTAATGGCATCTCTGTATTTGACTGTATAGATGGTGTGGTGATATTGCGATTCTGTTTGGCTTTTTATTCACTAATCCCTTTTGAAGGTCCTGGCTGTGGCTGCTGCCTTTTTGTATCCCCAGCATGTTATGTTCTCCCTCCAAGGAGGAGCCCAGATTGCCTGTAACTACACCCACCCCAGGATTCTACTTGTCCCTCAGAGCTGGGTGAGGGTTGCTTTGGGAACACACCAGACGGGGAATGGCCAAGTGATGGGCGTGAATGCACCAGGGTTCCAAAGCGCGGGATCCCTTGACACAGTGCCCATGCTCCTGCCAGTGAACATTCTTCTATCCCTTCCTCATCCTCTGAATTCAGCATTCTCCAACATTCTTATTTTTCTCATTTTCCTTTTAATTTGTGTTTTCTGATTTTTAATTTGTTATCTGTATGCTGGTTTTCCTTTTGTATTTCTTCTCCTGAAAATTGTCTCTTAACATGCATTGACTGTCTTTGTATTAGGGTGGTACTTACTAATGTGCAGCATTTTCCCTTCCCTCCTTCCTTCCCCCACTTCCTTCCTCCCTCCTTCCTTCCTTCCTTCCCCGGGGATTGAACTCAGGGGTACTCAGCCCTGTTTTGCATGTTATTTAGAGACAGGGTCTCACTGAGTTGCTTAGCGTCTCACCATTGCTGAGGCTGACTTTGAACTCGTGATCCTCCTGTCTCAGTCTCATGAGCTGCTGGGATTACAGGCCTGTGCACTGTGCCCAGTGCAGCATTTTTCTTGTACATTAAAATAGATTTAGGTTTAAAGTAGAAATAGATTTTAGTCGTCCTTGGTATTAGACATTATGACCATTTTCTTGTAGTCTTTATCTGCCTGGTCACATTTCTTTCATGTTTTTCATTGATTATTAAGAGATTTGATACTGGATGTTGTAAAAACCTTTTTTAAATTTTTAGGTGACTTACTGAGTAACCTGTTGCAAAGTCCTAGTTCAGCCAAACTGTTGAATCAGCCAATTCCCATCCTCGATGCGGAGAGTGAGTATATCTGTTCCCTGGCCTTGGAGTGCCTGGCCCACCTCTTCAGTTGGATTCCTCTGTCTGCCAGCATCACCCCGTCCCTCCTCACCACCATCTTCCACTTTGCGCGCTTTGGCTGTGACATCCGGGCCAGAAAGATGGCATCAGTGAATGGTAGCAGCCAGAACTGTGTTTTGGGTCAGGAGCGCGGCCGGCTAGGGGTCCTGGCCATGTCCTGCATCAATGAACTCATGTCCAAGAACTGTGTGCCTATGGAGTTCGAGGAGTACTTACTGCGTATGTTCCAGCAGACTTTCTACCTCCTGCAGAAAATCACCAAGGATAGCAATGCCCACACAGTGAAGAGCAGGCTAGAAGAGCTCGATGAGAGGTAATGGAAACAGGTGTGAGTGGGTTGTGTCCTGAGAAAGGGCCTTAGCTGTTTAGCACGCTGTGCCGCAGTGTCTGTAATCCCCTTTGATTTCAGAATGTGGGCTCCTGGTGAAGACCAGAAAGGTAGGTGTGTACAGTAAGTCCCAGATGAGCTGGAAGGGCTAGGGTGGTCCAGGGCAATGAGACCACATGAAAAGTGATGGTGGATGGTGTAGGTTGTTGTTTTTCTTTCCCATCCATTTCCTGTCTTCCCTCCACCGCTCTTCCCCCTCTCCCTCACTATTTGCCTGCAGGTCTGAGGTGGTACAGGAACTGACTCTGCTGCTCCTGCGTAGGCAAGAACAGGAGAAGAGGTCCGGGAGGTACAGGAGTCACAGTCACCCTTTCCCACGGGGTGTTGCTTGTCAGTTTTTACTCTTTGACTTTTTCCAAGTGAACATCTTGCAATGTATAGGATTACTATTATTGTGAGTTTTACCCAAATGACAGTGCTCATCAAATGATAGGAGAGATTGTAATGTGAGTCCAAGTTAATATGGAGCACATCTATTTTGCTTTGTTACGATTCCCTGGAATGGAGCCCAAGATTGCCCAGGCCCATTTTTCTGAAAATATTTTAAAAGATGACTTCATCACAGTAGTCAGAGGCAGTGATCATTATTTATTTCCTTTACAGATGATGTCATTTATGTATCTTACAACTTGCATTAACCCGATGCCATTGCTGCATAAACACAAGGGAAATTGGAAACATATTATGAACAATCCTGTTGACTGTTCAGAAACATCCAAGCTGATAAAACGTATTGAATTAGAAAATATAACTTGCCTGACAGTAAAAGTTGTTAATATCTTAATGAGTTTTCCTTGGACTGTGTGTTGTTATTAAGCTATAACAGAATTAAGCTATTTCCTTTTTCTTAAAGTAGCAGAATATAAAGGTAATTGCCTAAAGTGAAGAAAGTTGTATGCTTTTGAAATCAGACACTTTTTTAATGTTTCTATTTAAAAAATTGATAACGTATGATTATTTTGGTTTGGTTCATTGTAAACAAGATTTGTGTGGCATTTGCTTTGTATAAATACAGAAACTCATGGTATGGTATATTTTTTCATGACTTAATGGTAACTTTCTATAAGAACACAAAGGTTTTAGTATTCACACAATTTCATCTCCTTTCTAGTTTTGGTTAAGAAAGTCTGTCTTGTCTTCATATGTTAATAAAATGTAGCTGCTTGTACCAACCATCAGTATCAGTTGTTTTGACTTTTCCTTGAGGCATAACACAGTCCCATGCACTGTTATGCCTTAGTCCAGATGGTATAGAAATGTCTTCATGGATTATCTGTGTACTGATTTTGTTCCATGTAACTTCTGTGCTCTTGGTTTCATATTTTAATCCTATGCTTCCTCTTGCCCTGTGAAAGCTGAGAGGTACCTGGAGGCAGAAAGGTGACATAAATAATGCTGTGTGCTTGTTTCTGGTTCTGGGGTCCCTTGTACTAATTCTAAACAGCTCTGTCTGTCCTCAGTTGTTTAGGAGCTGCTTAACCGGGTCCTTGGCTTCTCTCATCCTCTATTGCCTCCCCCTCCTAACTTCCTACTGTTCATTAGCACCTGTACCAGAAGGTGGGCAAGGGAAAGAAAATGAGGTGAAATCAAACCTATAGTTTAAATATTGAGCAGCCTTGTTTGTAATTTTTAAAAATTGGGTTGGACAGTAAAATAAAATTGAGATTGCTGGATATCTTACCCATGCTTCTCTTTGGTCTTTTATGGGTGATAGGAAATTGAGTGCATTTTACTAAAGAGCAGTAAACTGGGTGACTTTGAAGATCATGTAAAAATATAATGTAATAAACGTGTTGAGTGAGGAATGAGGGGTCTGCACCTGTGAGTGTTAGTGATTGGAGACATCAGAGAGCAGTCTCCCTGTACTTTGCTGTCTTTCAGCCAGTTAGTGCATGTTTCCAAGTGTTTGACTCCTTGGTATACAGAAATAGCCATTCTCTTTATCCGATCAAAATCACATATTTTCAAAAAAGCTGAGCATAAGCTCATGTATCTATGAGCTGGCTGAGTAGAAGTCGTATAGGCAGTTGGCCACCCTTGTGGAGATAGGTCCTGCGAATGGCATGGGACATTTTATTTCTGGACCAGTTTTGCTCTCTGAGGAGTAATTGTCTTTTCAACTTTATTATTTCACACCTGTTTTAAAAAAACAGCTTTTGCAGAAATGAGTTTCAGAATTGCTTTTAGACATTAATTTTAGCTAAGGCCTATTATGTTCTTACTTTTTTGTTGGTCTCTGAAATGTGATTTATGGAGGTATGTCCATCTCATTTTCTAATCACCTTTTGGTATCGAGGGGCTTAAAATGACAGTTTCTGAAATGTGAGAGTGATTATATGCTGTGTATTTAATAACAAAAATCTCTTATCCTTGCAGCTGTGACCCACACTCCTCTGTGAAATGATTTTGTGAATACAAATGAGTTGGGGATTCACTGTGATGTGAAAAGAAAGAGCCCTGGATTGGGAATGACTTTGGCCTGTCTCTGGGCTTCATCTGTCAAATGGAAGTGTCAGACTAAATTGTCCTTAAGCCTTGGCCAGCTCTAAGCAGCCTTCCTTCTTAGAGCTGAAAATCACTTTTAGGGTGGAGTGGGATGTGCTAAGCTTCACTGGCTCCAGGAGCCAGAGGGGGAGACCTGAGTGTTAGGGTGTAGGTCTGAATGTCTTTTGCCTAGATGCCACGCCCTCATGAAGCCTTGTTGTTATGTCTGCAGCACAACCTGTTTTAATATTTTGGCCTCTTGGTACAGAAGACCAGACCTCTAGATTTGCAAGATTGAAATAACACAGTAATCTGCCATCAACTTCTGAGCACCATTTCCTTTCATTCTAATTGAGTCTTAATACTAATGAGTGAGGAAATAATAGAGCACTAGCTCACAGCAAGCCTTGGTGGATGGTGTCTAAGGATTAAAGTTGCTTTTCTGCTATGTTTCAGGTGGTAATGGAATGAAGGGTTGCCTGTCCTGTAGGTAATTGTTGCAGGTCTTTATATTTTTAACTGAAAAAATATATAAATCTGTATAGTTCTATACTGAATGAAATTTGGGTTGAATTTAAGTTCTCTTCTGAGGAAGATGGCTAGGTTCATTTGGTCACTTTTTGTCTTCTTGTCTTATCTAGCTACATTGAGAAGTTTACTGACTTTCTGCGGCTCTTTGTAAGTGTTCACCTGAGAAGAATCGAGTCCTACTCCCAGTTCCCGGTGGTAGAGTTTTTGACGCTTTTGTTCAAGTACACGTTTCATCAGGTAAAGCACCAACGTGGCCTTTCCTTGTTCCTTCACGGTGTTTACTCTGTGTGCTCAGTACCAATAAACTAACACCTTAGTCTTTACAGCACCCTGTGAGGATGGCACTACTGTTACAGCTCCACTTTATACACACAGAGACCGAGGCACAGGAGTAAGTGTGCTCAGGTCATGCAGGCAGCGAGTGGTAGAACCAGGGTTTGGACACACAGTCTGTGCTCCTTACCACTGTTATGTTAGGGAAGCAGAGTACAGAAAAAGTCTCAAATTAGGGACTTTAATTCCATTCTGTAACTGTCACTAAAATTCCACAGATTATATATGGTGAAGCTCCTGAGTTAAGTTTGTGTGCTATTGAGTTTTTTTTTTTCCTGTTCAATAAATATATTTGAGCTCCCATTATATTTTAGGAGCTAGGCATATAAACTTCACTAGCCGCCTTTGCTTTCAATCAGTTGGTAGCCAAGTGACCCAGGTTTTACACACACACACACACACACACACACACACACACACAGTTTTAAAAATTTTATTGAAGTATAATTTTACATACCCTGGAATTCACTCATTATGATTTGACACTTCATTGAATTGATAGTCACGTAACTGTTACCACAGTCTAGATTTAACGTTTCTGTCACATCTTGTCCCTTTGCTTATTTGTGGGTATGTTTAAAACAAATAAGCTTTCAAATAGAGCATGACACAATACAGAAAAATACATAAATTGTGTACAGCTTGATGAATTTTCTCCACATGAACGTGTCCTTGGAATTACCACCCAAGTCAGGAATAGAATTTCACCAGCACCCCAGAAATTCCCTCACGACCTTTCCCTGAATCACTCTCCCTCCCTTCTACTTAGAAGTAGCATGGTTCTGGCCTGGATACCACAGGTCAGTTGTGTCTGGTTTAGAATTTCTCTGAAAAGCATATAATGTATGTTTGGTATTTTTTTTGTCCGGCATCTGTTTTTTTTTTTTTTTTTTTAACGTGGTGCTGAGGATTGAACCCAGGGTCCCACGCATGGGAGACGAGCACTCTACTGCTGAGCCACATCCCCAGCCCCTGGCATCTGTTTTTTTGGGGTGGTAGTGGTGGTGGTGGTGGTGGTACTGGTACTGGTGATTGAACCCAAGGGTGCTCTACCACTAAGCCATGTCCCCATCTTTTTTTTTTTTTTTTAAATATTTACTTTTTAGTTATAGATGGACACAATATCTTTATTTTTATGTGGTGCTGAGGATCAAAGGCTCTACCTCTAAGCCAAATCCCAGCCCCCCAGCCCTTTTTTTTAATTTTTTATTTTTTTGGTAGCAGGGTTTTAATTCAGGGACATTTGACTGCTGAGCCCCATCCCCAGCCCTATTTTGTATTTTATTTAGAGACAGGGTCTCACTGAGTTGCTTAGTTAGTGCCTTATTTTTGCTGAGCTTGGCTTTAAACTCATGATTCTCCTCCTGTCTCAGCCTCCCAAGCTGCTGGGATTATAGACATGCACCACTGAACCCAGCTATTTTTTATTTTGAGACAGGATTTTGCTAATGCTGAGACTGGCCTCGACCTTGCCATCTTCCTGCCTCTGCCTCCCAAGTTGCTAGAATTTAGGCACGTGCCACTGTGCTTGGCTTTCTCTGGCTTTTCTTTTTTTGTCCCCGTTCGAAATTTTGCATGTGAGCTTCCTCCATGTTGCTTGTAGCAGAGGTTTGTTCTTGCTCATTGTGTTGTGATAAGCCATTGTCTGAAAATCCATTCCACTGCTGATTTGGCTGCTTCTGGTTCTGGATAATTATGAATCCTGCTGCAGTGAGCACTCTTGAATTTGCTTTTTGATGCACATGGGTAGCTCTTTCTGTTTGTGTATACCAGGGATGAGACTACTGGGTCAGAGAGGGCGTCTGATTTTAAAGACTTTAAAGAAAAAAACAAGCACTGACACTATGCCTTAATAAGGCTAGAAGAGGCAAGGGTGGAGCCTGGTTGGTGTGGGCAATGCGTATGTGATTGGGGACTTGGAGCAAGGGTTACAAGCCAGCCTTTCTCAAAGAGGGACTTGGTATGTAAAAATAAGATTCCCCAGTGGTAAGGGTGACCCTTTCCTGGGAGCAGGGCAAGGGCTAGGGCACAGGTGGCAGGGCAGAGGAGGACCCAAGCTTGAGGATGTGTGGAAGGGAGGGGTCATTGTGCAGAGCAGGGAGGAGGCCACCTGCTCACAGGCCTGGTGGGAGGGCAGCAGAAGAGGTGACCACAAGATGATGGGTGGGGGCCGTGGGAGGAGCAATGGAGATGGAGAAGCTGTTTGAGAAAGATGCAGAGAAATCTTAAAAGGGACAAGGAAAAATGGATTTGAGAGAAGTTTGAGTGAGTGTCAGATAGATCCTGTATGAGTGAGGCAGAAAATAAAAGATAAGGATCAGGGCTGAGATCATAAAGGAAGGGCTGCTTTGGCACAGAGGGATGAAAATGTCTTGAAATTCCCTCCCCTGCCAGATGCAGAGGAAAGCTGGAGACTGCCCCAGGGCTGGGCTGGGCCTCAGTGAGGAGCGCTGGCCCAGCCTGGGCAAGGTCCTAGGGATTGTCCCCCCCGCCCCCATTAAAAAACAAAGACTTTTCAAGTGTGCGCATCTTACTTGTCCTTCTTCACAGTGAACCCTAAAAGCACTTCTGCATGCATCTGATCAGTCATTTTCTTTAGAGGGTGGATATTTTCAAACAAAGGAAGGATGATTGGGTGACTGACTGATTTAAGGGAAGTTCAGCAAGTGATAGCAGGACAAGACGTATCTTGTGGATGTGCAAGTCTTAGGGCCTGTCTGCTGACTCCCCACGTTATTTCCACGTCTGTCTTATTGTTTTTCTCGATTATTCTCCTGGTTCACTTCATGTGATAGACATCCTGGCTTTTACCAAGTAAGAAGTAGAGGCAGGACATGGGTCATTGAGGTTGGTCCTGTCAGCTCCTGACTGATCTTAGCAGCATAGTCCCAGGGATGCTTTTCAGGTTGTGAGGTTGGCAACTATGGTCAGTTGTGATTTCGGACCATATGTAGGATGCTGTGGCTACCTACCGCCAATGTTAGTTATTCTTGGAACATTCCTTCTGTGCCCTTGTAAACTTTTGAATTTCCTCGTGGCTCAGAAACAGAAGGAAACTGATCCAAGAAGGTAAATGTGTTCTTTCTTTCCATATCTGATCCTGTCCCCAAATATGTGGTTCATGAGGCAAGACATTAGGAAAACCAAATAAAGGACTGTTGTGGACCAGCATTTGGGGGTCACAGGTTGAACCTGAATGTGTGTGGTAAAGATTAGCTATTGGAGAGAATGGTCCCTGGATTTTTCATGAAAGAGAATCTCAGGGCTCTTAGTAAAGTTAACAGTGTAGCAGTCCAGGCACTAGGACCCTGCAGTTGGTCTACTCTTGTTCCTTTTTGTCCTTATCAAAACCTAGTTGAGGTTGCTGCCAGCCTGTTGACACCCTTGCTTTTGCAAATGGCATGTGCCTTGGGGGGTGACACTTAACAGCTGCTTTTCAGTCTGTTATATAAGAAGACTTTCGAGTAGTACTTTCCTTATATTCAAATGTGTAAACCTGTCACCTTTGAAGCCACTTTTACTTTTGGTTTTGTAATGGTTTGTAGCAGAAAAAGCATTGACTCTAGCACTGGGCACTGGGCACTCGATTTGTCCTGCATAGCATCTCCCTAATGATGTGTTCCACCGCACCCTTGTCTTGTTAAGTTCCATAGGGGTCAATGGTGAAGACACCAAAAGCCCCCAGTGATGGTTACAAGGAAATAGAGGGAGTCTGTCTGTGCCTATGTTGTGCCCTTTTGGTGGAGGTAAACCCTGGTGAGTGTGTTTCTAAGCAATAGTTGCATTAAGTAATTTCATTGTCTGGATTTCTTTTGTACCATAGCCTACTCATGAAGGTTACTTCTCTTGTTTGGATATCTGGACACTCTTTTTGGACTATCTGACAAGTAAAATTAAAAGTCGTCTGGGAGACAAGGAAGCAGTTCTCAACAGGTAAACCCCAGAAACACTGATCAATAGAAACAGTCATTTTTGCCAGTTATTCTCGTGGACTATAGGGGCAGCCATTTCTCTGGACCTCTTTAGTGAAATTTGACCCATGTGAGCTGTTCAGAAGTAATGCCATTGAGTGTTTTCTTCATTTTTTTTTTCTTTTAAAGATCTTATTTTTTAAAAACTTTTTTTCTAATTAAAAAAGTAATTGTGTTATTAATTTTTTAGATATGACAATTGTATGTTCTCTTTAAAGGCTTTTGTTTTAGAGATATAGACAAAAATATATTGAATGAAATGATATGACCTCTGAAATTTGCTTTAAATAACCCACTGAGGGTAGAAGGGAAATACTTTGTTACATTAAAAAAAAACAGGATTGGTTATGTGTTGATAACTGAAGTTGAAGTTAGTTGATAGAAACTCGGGGTTCATTATATTCTTAACTCCTTTTTATGTGTTAACAAATTTCCTAAACATACTGGTTGTGTGGCGCATGTCTGTAATTCTAGTGACTTGGGAGGCTAAGGCAGGAGGATAGTAAGTTTGAAGCCAGCCTCGACAACTTTGTGAGTCCCTGCTATAAGGAGGCAGAATGCTTACAGGCATAATGTTCCTGGATTCAATTCCCAGTTCCACAAAAAAGAAAAAGAACAAAATGTCCTAAATAAATTAATAAATATGTTATGGAGGGCTAGGGTTGTAGCTCATTGGTAGAGCACTTGCCTAGCACGTGTGAGGCACTGGGTTTGATCCTCAGCACCACATAAAAATAAATAAATAAATAAAATAAAAGGTATTGTATCCATCTCTACAAAAAAATAATGTCATAGAAAAAAATGTTCTTTTTCCCCCCCTTTTTTTCTTTTTTTTGCCCATTGTTGTTTTGTTTTTAGTGGGGATTGAACCCAGGGGCACTTTACCACTAAGTCACATCCTCAGTCCTTTTCATTTTTTATTTTGAGACAGGGTTTCACTAAGTTGCTTGGCCTCAGTAAATTGCTAAATTGGCCTTGAACTTGTAATTCTATTGCCTCAGCCTCCTGAGTCTCTGGGATTACAGGCATGAGCCATTGCACTTGGGTCCTACGCATATTTATTTGTTTTTAATGTATTTTTTTAAAAAACAGGAGAAGATGAAAAACATAAGGGAGATATTTATCCATAATCCTTCACTCCACAGTAATTGTGTAATTTTTATTGCATTTTTTTTAAAACACAGAAAATAGGGAAAGGTTGCCCCTGCCCTATTTCTTGCTTGCAAGCAGCGTGTTTCTTATATGGTGTAATGCCACAGAGTGGGGAGAAGAGGAGGGGAAGTTGGGAGTTCAGCATGCTGGAAAATGGCAAGGTCCACATGTAGGTCCACATGTAGTAGAATGGCTACTTAGCAGAAATAGACACATGACATTTGGGCTGCTCCGGTGGAGTGGCTGTATTCCAGTCACATCCTCAACAGGCAGGCTGGAGGGAGGCAGAGAATTCTGTTTTAATTATCAGTCTGGTTCTTAGGTTTCTAGTGCACGCATGTAAGGATGCTGGGAGGGACTGTTAGTGATCTCATCCCAGGGACTTTCTCACACTAGAACATCTCGGGTTCTGTCCAGGTTAGTCCTAGCTCTTGTGTCTTTGCACAGTATTAATAAGAGAAGTTTCAGAGCAGGTAGTCAATGTGTGTGAAACTTACCAGCGGCTGAGGGAGGTTCTGCACTGTGATGTCATGCTTGGGAATTCTGGCTTTGTAGTGTCTTTCTTTCTTTTTAAAGAAATTTTATTTCATTCTGATTTGTTTTATATGATAATAAAATGCAATTAAATTCATATTATCCAAATAGAGCACAATTTCTCATGTCTCTGGTTGTACACAAAGTAGAGTCCCACCATTCATGTTTTCATACACAAATTCTTAGGATGATGATGTCTGTCTCATTCCACCCTCTTTCCTACCCCCATGCCCTCTCCCCTCCTCTCCCTCCCCTTTGCCCTGTCTAAAGTTCTTCTATTTCTTCTCTGTCCCCTTCCCTCCTTGTAAAAATGGGGACAGTGATGGTTGTTTTTCAGACATTTAATGTTGTTTACAAGAGTGTTGTAAGTGCTGAGTACATGGGACCTGTGGGTGGTGGTAGCATTAGTGGACACCCTCCTCAGTCATGTGCCCCGTGGAGGGAGGCTGATGGGAGAAACTCCACCTGGGTAGAGAGGCTGGATTGGATCATTCTAAGTAAAACATTTTAAAATTAACATGTGTTCTTTTGTTTCCAAACATCATTTTTGTTATTACAGAATAGTGTCTAAATTGCTGTAATGTCAGGGCAGAAATTACACAATAGTAGATTCTGTTTTTATTGAAATAATTGTCTTTTTGAATGAAATTCTTCAAAGAGAATCTCCTTCTACCAAAATATCTTTCTCACACACTGATCAGACATATCTTTTGGTTCTGGGATTATTCCAGATTTTTCTGTTCAGTGATAGGTATTTCTTCATATCCCTCAGGCTTGTTGAGAGATAAGCAGAAGGAGGGATTAATATGAAAATGCTTTTTTAAAAATAATACAATTTGGAGGTGTGACGAATATGGTTCTGTTGAGAAAGCATATGCTAGCAGATTACTAACATTAAACATGTAGATGAGGGCTGGGGTTTTAGCTCAGTTGGTAGAGCAATCGCCTCACATGTGTGAGGCACTGGGTTTGATCCTCAGCACCATATAAAAATAAAGGTATTGTGTCCATCTACTACAAAAAAATATTTAAAAAAACATATAGATGAGTATTATAGGTAAGTGAGTATTACTTTGTGCAGGTTGTTGTACCTAGAGATGGAGCAGTGAGACAGTTTAAATTCTTTTTCTGCTCTGTGATTGCCGTGTTCTGTTGGTCAAATTTTATGTGCTCATCTCATTTCCAAGATGGACATACTAATGTCTCATATTTTTACATTTTGTTTTTAATGTAGTGCTGGGGAGTCTCACACATGCCAGGCAAGCATCCTACCACTCTACTACTGAGGTGCATATCTAGGCCACTCACATAACTCTTGAAGAATGGTTAGTATTCAGATAAATCACATACATAAAACACTTGGCACTGTGTCTTGATATATTAGGCACTGAATAAGTGGTCTCATCGATGATGATAGCAGCATGTAATGGAAATGTTACTGCCAGTCAACAGTAATCCCTGGAGAGGCTGAGGCCTTTATCCCGTGCAGATGTTGACCTGGCTGTGTAGGTACCTGTTACCTGATGATATCACAGGTGATCGAGTTGCTGGCTAGCCACTTCAGACACTAGGAATTTTTTCATTGATTGTTTGATTATACTAAAAGAGGTTTTTTGTTTTCTTTTTTCCCTTCCCCAGAAACACACACAATATTTTTATAACACCTTTTTTTTTTTTTTTTAAATGCCTTTTGAAAATGAAACAGAATAAGGGAAAATCCCTCAAAGCTGGTCTGGATTTATGTTGTTCAATAGTAACCACCATCTGGGAACTGCCTCTTCTGTCATACACCCCCTCGTGGGTTAAGGTGGTAGACTGTGAAGAAGAGCATATTGGGCAGTCCACTGTGGTGCACAAAACATTTGAACTTTGCTTATGTCACTCTTACATTGTATGTTTATACAAGTATATGCTCCATAGCTTTTAATTGAAAGCTTGAAAGTTGGTGATCACTGCTCCATGTTATGAGAGTCCCAGTTTGATTATCAGAGGTGTGCTGTTTTTGTTGGAGCAGCTGATAAAGAACATTGGCTACTGGTGATCACATTTATTTTAACTGAGAGCTTGCAAACATGGTCAAATGTTTTTTAACTGATAAAATAATGTGGGGATGCTTTTGGAATCACATTTGTGGCTTAAGCCAGAATTTCAGAAGCAACTAATCTTGCAGGAAGTTTTTGTGTGTGTGTCTTAAATGGGAAACGTAGGTGTGGTTAAGTCACAGAGACAGCACTTGGTTCCTGTCCCTTGTGGTTTAAGGTTTTGCATCATTCATCACAACAAAGTGGTAGGCATTGTAAGCTACAAATTTAGAAGCACAAATGTACATAGGTTTATTTTTGGTTCTAGGAGCTTGGAGATTGGAGCTTTGCGTGTTTCTTACTCAGAATGCGCAAGAGTGTCTTGATCAGAGCTGTGGGGACTTGAGAGAACTGGGTTCCAGTGTTAATGGGATGAACGTTCCGCTGAGCAAAGTTGCTTTTGGAGTGATGGTCCTGATTGCCATTGTGAGCTGTCCTATGTAGAAAGGTGTGGGTTTCAGGCTCCCTTTCCTCATTTGTACTTGGGGGATGGTCGCACCTTCACAGGCTCCTGAGAAAACAGGCCGAGCCAATGCATGTGAAGTGTGTGGGCGGTTGGTGCTCACTAAATGGTGTTGCTTCTCTTCCCTGTTCTCTCCCCCCTTTATTTACGTTCACTGATGTGAAGGGAGGCACCTGTGTAGAAACTTATTTTTACAAGAAGATGAGGAAACCTGGGTGTGTGAAGCAACCTAAAGTATTTGAGTCATGTCCTGTGAACCTCTCTGTCCTAAGAATAATGGCAAGAGCTGGCCACAACCAGCACAGGGATTCTGGGTAACATGAGATTTCCCTGTAAACAAATGTGGATGAGAAAGACTGCTGCTCTCTTTTTGGAGTGGATTATTCAGCTTCATAGAGGAAGTGCCATTTCTACACGTAACATTGATGTACTTAATAACATAGTGCAGAGGAGCGTTAGACCTGTGGCCTTCTAGCTCCTGCTAGGAGAAATTATTTTGTTATTTTATTTTCTGTTAGGAGAAATTAATGCCCCAGATTGCTCTAGATAGCAAATGATGGGATCTTTGTTATTTTATTGAGTTGAAAAAGCTATCCAGGGTCATGCTTCTATCTTTCACCATTTCTGACTTGGAGTTTTGTTTATTGCCTATTGCTTATTCATTTCTTTGTTTGTGTGTTTATTCATTATACATTTATTAGGCAACTACTTTACCATAATAACGATACATTTTGTTTAACTTCCAGAACTTTGTGAGGTATATAGGGTTTTTATCCATAGTGTATATAAGCAGTCAATGCTTTTATTGGCTTTATCCATCAGATTTTAATGTTGCGTATCATTGTTATTTGATTTACAGTATTTTCTAATTTCTCTTGATATGTCTTATTTCCAAATATTTGGGAATTTTCCTTGTATCTTTTTGTTACTCTCTTCTAGTTCAGTCTTAGTATGGTCTGTAAACATAGTTCTTTTAAATTTGTTAAAGATTGTTTTATGACCCAGTCTTCATGCACCTGAAAAAAAAGATGTGTATTTCTGCTATTCTTGAATGTTCTATAAATATCAGGTCAGGTTGGTTGATAGAATCGAACACATCTTCTTTATCCTACTCATTCTATCACTTAGAAGTGGATTCTGCCAGTGTAATTGTGGATTTGCTTACGTTTCCTATTAGTTCTATTAGTTTTTGCTTCTATTTTTTTTTGAGGCACTGATGTTAGTTGTATGCACATTAGTTTTCCTCAACATATCTATTAGTGCTTTATAAAAAAAATATATATTTTTTTAGTTGTAGTTGGACACAATACCTTTATTTTGTTTGTTTATTTTTATGTGGTGCTGAGGATCGAATCCAGGGCCTCGCACGTGCTAGACGAGCGCTCTACCACTGAGCCACAACCCCAGCCCTCTATTAGTGTTTGATTATAACTCTCTATATATGGGAATATTTTAGTGGTTGCTCTGGGTCTTTATATATTCTCTTAATGTGAAAAATTAACATTTTATATCCATGTAAAAGAGAAATCTTACCACCATAGAGATTCTTTTTACCCTCCCTTCTTTACTTTGTGGTTGTCATGTGTTTTATGACTATGAGCTTTGAAAACCCAATCAGAGAATGTTACAAGTTTTGCTTTTATTCATCACTCATCTTTTAAAGATCTTACCAGCAGAGAAATAGTCTTCTCAGATTTACCCAGACATTTGGCCACTCTTGCTTTTCGTTCCAAGTTTTTCTTTCTTTGTTTTTTTTCCTTTTTAGATTTGATATTTTAGTTGTTGTTGGACATAATACCTTTACTTTATTTTTATGTGGTGCTGAGGATCGAACCCAGGGCCTCGCACGTGTTAGGCGAGCGCTCTACCGCTGAGCCACAACCCCAGTCCCCCCCACCCCCATACTACTCTGCTTGGGCTGCCATAACAAAAGGCATAACAGGTTGTGTGGCTTAAACAGTGGAAGTTTATTTTCTCACAGTTCTGGGGACTGGAAGCTCAAAGGTAAAGGTGCCAGTGGTTGATTTGTGGTTAAAACTGTCTTGATGGCTTGCAGACGACTGCTTTCTTGTTATGTGTTCATGTGGCCTTTCTTTTCTGTGCATGTGTGGGAAAAGAGACCTCTCTTGTGTGTCTTATGAGGGCATCAGTCACTACCCTCTCACTCCACTTAACCGTTATTGCCTCTTTGTAAGCCCTGACTCCAAATATAGTCACACTGGGGGGTACTTTTAGTGCTTCAACTTGTGAATTGGGGGAGTGGAGGAACACAGTTCTGCACAACACCTTCCATTCAAAGAACCTCATGTTATAATAGTGCATTAAAGTCATTGATAGTCCCAGCATTTGTGACATCTTGATATGGGCATCTTTGGTTGGTTGTCTTTCATTTGGGAAATGGTCAGTGTCTGCTTTTCTTTGTTTACCAAGTGATTTGCTGGGTCCTTTTGCCTGTGTTTTTTTTTTTTTTTTTTTTTTTTTTTTTTTTTTTTTTTTTTT